GAGCCTCCCGCGAGCGTCCCAGTCGCCGACCGCGAAGGTACAACGCCGCACAGCCTCGTACGGAGGAGTGTCCGAGGGCAGACGGACGCCGAGCCCGGCCGCACGCCCACGGCCGTCCCGGAGACGTGGAGCAGCTGCGTGGTCACAGCTGCCCTCGCCACGCGGGCACGAGCAGTTTGTACCAAGACTGCTCGCACGGCTCCCTTACACCGCTGATTAAATTTTGCTGTGCTAGACTTAAGCCTCCATTAGGAAACCAAGAGCTTTCAAAGAGGAGAAGAAGGTGGGAGAGGCAAGCAGCCCCTGGCACACAGCGGACAGCCAGCAAGGAGGGAGCGCTGGGGTGTGTCTCCGCGCAGCAGGTATTTCTTTTATTCCGCAACACCAGCAGCAAACCTGGCAGGAATTGCTGCTCACCACCGAAAGCCATTCAGCAGCAGCAAAACTAGCTGCGGGAAGGAGACATTTGAGGACAGGTGGAGAAAAGAGGCGTTAAAAGAGCTCACGTTTCAGAGCGAGCAGTTCTTTTCAAATTAGAGAACAAAATTATTTCTGCACCGTCAAGAGAGATGAATAAAGCAGTCACCGGCTCCTCAAACCCTCACCTGCCCAGCTGCTCTGTTGGGTACAACAGATTGCTGGTGTTCAAGCTGCCTTGTACTCAGAAACACAAAACCTACCGCAGCAAAACTGGACACGCCGCCACTTCTGCCCCTGAAAAGCACGCAGAAACACAAGCGACGCGTCTTTGCCCCAGCCTCAGCCCGGACCTGCTTCGTGTAACAAAAATGCTCCTCGAAAAGCCGAGGCAGGAGCCGAGACACTCACTTGGAAAGCGACACCCCGCCGGGCTTCCCTATCAGCTCCTCGTGGTGCAGCACCGTGTCGCTCCAGGAGATGTCCAGGAACTTCATGATGGCGTGCATGGACTGCTCGGGGTGCAGCACCAGCTGCTCGTAGTAGACGGGCAGGCACCGGGACCGCCCGATCTCCAGGCACTGGGAGTACATCACCTCGATGGCTTTGTTCCACTTGGTCAGGCAGTCGCGGTAGCTGGTCAGGTCGAAGCCCGCGATCGTCACCTTCCGCGTGATCATGGAGTGGACCGAAGCCCGGCCGTCTCGAACCATCAGGAGGAATTTGGAGTTGGGGAAGAGCCTGGACAGGTAGACAGAGGACTTCAGGGTGAAGGGGTCCTTGTTGCACAAGTACCTGGCTGGCTCGCCGTGCTTGGCGATCACTTCCAGTATGAAGGCCTGCATAGCGGCGTCCAGGACTTGGTCCGTCACCCCCGCTTCGTCCAGGCGCATCTTCTCTCGCCCCGATTTGGACCAGGCCTGTCGCCAGCACGCGGGGGATGATGCGGGTCTCCTCTCCGCAGCGCACCTCGGGGTGGGCATCGAGCATGGCCCTCATCAGCGTCGTGCCGCTCCGCGGGACCCCGCCAATGAATATCAGGGGCATCTCCTTGCTGTAACGGTACTCGACGTGGTTGGAGTCCATCATGACCAGCTCCTCGTTCTCTGGTCTCATCAGCCTGTGCCTCCTCTTGCTCAGGACCTGCTGGCACTCCAGGACCTGCTGGCCGAGGTGCAGAGTCACCATCAGGGCGACCACCGAGCCCACCACCAGCAACACCCTCCGCATGGTGACCCGCATGCTGCTCTCCTCCGCACAGGCTGGTGACCGCGCTTCAGCTTTCAGCCAGCAAGCGTTCAACCCAGCGGGCATCTGCAAGAGAAACACAGCGCGGTCAGAGGAGCAGGAGCCGCAGTCCAGCCCGGCGGCCCCCCAGCCTCCAGCCTGGCTCCTTCAGGACGCTGACACCATCCCAGGCTTTCATCACCTCCTGCATTTATCAGCAACTTCCAGCCCAGGTGCCTTCTACCCAGGAGGTAATTAAAGTCTGCCTCAGAGCACACCCAGAGAGATGGTTTCTGGACCATTTGTGTACCCAGAATCGCAGGTTTACAGCTGCAGCAAAGCTCCAGGAACGTTTCAGAGAGCAGGGGCCAAGCGTACCCAGTGAGCCCTTAAAAAAAAGACTCCACAGGGAGCCCATTCCATCCCAGACGCAGCCCAGTCCCTCCCTGCAGTTCTCCCTCCCGAAAGCACCGTCCTCTCGCTTCTCTCAGCCACCTGCCTCCTTCCTACATTTTGTTTAGTTTCAATGTGCTGTCACAGGGGAGGGGGGAAAGCTGAAATAAGAGAAAAACAAAAGCATCTCATGCAAATTTTAAGGCTGTGACTCAGGAGAAGCAGTTACCCATTAGAATGAAACACTCTGAGAAATTAAACCATCTGAAGGCTGACAGCAACACACAGAGTCAGCGTTCAACGCCCTTCCTCCGGGGACTGACCTTACAGAAAAATCCTTGAAGACTTCATCTGGCATGAAGCAAGCTTTTTGGGTTTTCTGCGTCTCGGGAGGGGGTCCAGCAGGAAGCCTGCCGGTTCTGCGAGTGCCCTGCTCTGCTGCCTGCCCGGAAAGGACTCCTGCGAGCGCTGGCATCGCTTCCCACGCCCTCCCCCCGTCTGCTCCATTTGCGAGCCCAGGTTTTGCAATCCTCCCCTGGGCTCACCCAGGGATTTCGAGTTCTTTGTGATTATGTGGCTGGGGCGGGAGTTGAATGCAGGGGAAGGAACGGGACGTCCACGCGTTTTGTTTAAAGAACCGCTTCAGAAGAACGTTTTCTCCTCTCGCCGTGAACGGGCACAGTTAGCAGCGGCCCG